GCTTGGGGCCTTGAGGATGATCAAAACTTTTGCTCTAGCTTCTTGTCGCTTCTTTTCCCCGAAATACCCATCATCAACCTTGTCTTCTCATCCTCACATCCTCAGATTCTCAATCGCCGATCATCGGAATCTCTCAGTCATGGCCGGAGCTAGCGGTGTCGACGAGTTCGTTAAAGGAAATGTTTATCCTAATGGTGTGGCTCTCATCACTCTCGATCGAACCAAAGCTCTTAACGCCATGAATCTAGGTTCGAATTTTGTAGCCTTTTTCTTTTTTGTTGAGTTTTGGATTTATGTTTGAAACGAGAGTATCTTTGCATCATGAATTCGATTATGATATGGTATTTTTACAGATATGGATTTAAAGTATAAAAGCTTTCTTGATGAATGGGAATCTGACTCTAAAGTCAAATGTGTTGTGGTTGAAGGCAGCACACCTCGGGCCTTTTGTGCGGGTAATTTGCTTCTTTTATGTGTTTGGGAAGCTGGACTTCTAGTTTGTATCATCTGGTCTTATTGTGTCTGGATTCATACAAAATCAGAATTCTTTGTCTTGTCTGAGAAGAAGGTATTGTTATGAATGGTGCAGGGATGGATATTAAAGGAGTTGCTGCAGAAATCCAAAAGGACAAAAACACACCTCTTGTGCAAAAGGTTTCTCTACCAATTATGCTCTGTTTTATCAATTGCAGAAGATGATTCACCCATCATTTCTAGCTCATATCTATCGTAAACCATATAAGAAGACGCTAGAATTATGGAATCTAGTCATTTTTTTCTTGGTTATTTGACATTTCTTCCTTTTGCTCTAGTTTAGATGATTGAGGTTTGTTTCAAGTATTTAAGCATTTTCTATTTTGTTAAGGCTGGCTAAAATGGTGTAACTAATTTGTTTAATAGGCAGCAGGTCTATGGTACATTCTTTTATAAATTTGTTGCTGTCGCTTAGCTCTTCCTCAAGTATTTACCTTCAAATTCTTAGTATTTTTTGTAGCATATGTTAGCCTCCAAAATGTAGACGTCTCCAACTTCAATATTTTTGCTTCCTTAGGTATTTACAGCAGAATATACTCTGATATGCGCTATTGCTGGGTACAAAAAGCCATATATCTCATTAATGGATGGTATAACAATGGGATTTGGCCTTGGTCTTTCTGGACATGGTCGCTACCGTGTGATAACAGAGGTACAAACAAATATAAACTTGTTCTTTACTTTTTTTTTGTGCAAATTTTAGTTGGAATTACTTTCGTGACATTCTTTTCCATTCCAGAAAACGGTACTTGCCATGCCAGAAAATGGAATCGGCTTGTTCCCAGATGTTGGGTTTTCGTTTATAGCAGCTCATAGCCCTGGAGGAGGATCTGTTGGTATGTTGATATGCGAATCCTTACATTGGCTAGAGTTTTTAGGTGCTATTATATTGAAAGGAATAGGGAAAATGATCAACGCTAGTTAAAGGTCATTCTTAGCTGGTTGCTATCTAAGTATGCACAAAATTTTGGGAAAAAAAATGATGATTTTATTAGAGTGGAATTCATGTAGATGGTGCCTGTCCATTGTTTAGTGTTTTACCTCTTTATAATTTTTAAGAATCTGAAATCAAAGATCATTGAGGACCTTCAAGAATTTGTAACAATGAGTCAACTACTGTGGTATATTGCACAATGCAAAAGTTACTGTCATAAATGTCTGCAGGTGCATATCTTGGTTTGACCGGGAAAAGGATCTCCACGCCATCAGATGCGCTGTTCGTTGGTCTTGGGACACATTATGTACCATCTGAAAAACTAGCTTTATTAAAGGAAGCCATTTTGTCAGCTAACTTGTACGCGCTGCCCGGTCTCCTTTCTTATCTTTCTGTCAAAACGGAACATTTACTGTCACTTCTGTTAAATTAATATAAGCTTCAGTGACTCTGTGTAGATTTCCTTTCCCATCAAATTTATGTGCATCTTTGTCTCTCATAGAACTCATACATGTCGGTGATGCAGTTCTGAGGATTCTAATCAAGACATACAAGCAACTCTATCAAAATACAGCAGCAATCCTGAATCCGAGGCCCACCTCAAATTGCTTTTGCCTCAAATAGAGTCAGCCTTTAGCTCAAATAAGTCTGTTAAGGAAACAATAGAAGAGCTCAAGAAATACCAGCAAAGCACTGAGCCTTCAGGTATGATTTTCCATTCGCATTGAAATGCTCATAGAGCCTTACTATTCGTGTTCCAGTTATTCCCTGGTCAAACCATTCTAAGTTATACTTGAAGATTCTAAATGAACTAAAATCGCTGCCTTACCCTCGTGAATGCTGGACAATGTTTCGATACAGTTGTAGAATGGGCTAATGAGGCACTCAAAGGTTTGGAAAAAGGAGCACCATTTTCTCTTCACCTAACACAAAAGTATTTCTCCAATGTCGCATGTGCCAAGGGTAAAACTGAGAACGAATTAGCAACGGTGAGTTTCAACTCTTGACTTCAGTTATGTTTTCCTCCCCCAAGAGACTAAGGCGAAGAATATTAACTTCCCATATTAATTTCCTTCGTGAAGCTTAATGGCGTGATGAAAACTGAATATCGCATCGCACTAAGATCTGCCTTGCGTGGTGATTTTGCTGAAGGCGTTAGAGCAGTTTTGATTGACAAGGATCAGGTTTGCCACCCAAATTTTGCTGTTTGAGTCATCATTTGTCTTGTGCTTAGTTTCATCTCTCTGTTATTGAATCACAGAGTTTCATCATCTCGAGTGATTTTGTTGTCCTCGATTGAGAACCAGGCATTATAAGTTGATATCTGCATCAACAAGTGCTGTTTTAGAACCAAAGTTTTTGTTTGTTCGAAACTCTCGATCTCAAGACAAACGAAACTGATCCGCAATGAGAACTTTTTTGCAGAATCCAAAATGGAACCCAGCAAGCATTGAAGAGGTAGACGGAAACGAGGTGGAAGCTCTCTTTAAACCGTTAAGTACGGAAGTGGAAGAGATAAAAGTCTGATTCTCATTTGCATTTTGTTGAAAGTGTGTCCACAAAATAAACAAATCTTAGTCATGTGCTGTTACTGTAAAAACGTTAATTGAGTTGTTTTCAATAAATTAACACAGCTCTTATGTTGTTATGTTGCATCTTTCTTTTCACTTAAATTATGTTCGAACAGTTATAGATATATCTTAAAAACATGAGCCATTGTATTGCCAAAGCATGAAACGTGAAAACATCTGAGTAACAAGCGTAAAAGATAGAATCAAGAAGAGGAAGCAGACTTGTCATAAGTCGATCCGACGTGGTGGATTACGAATCCATAGATTTTGCGTTTCAGCCTCTCGATCTTGTCCATTGTGGCGATCTGATTTTCTCGGTCTTGTTGCGACGAGACAACCCGGTCCAACCACTCATTGACCTGTTTCAGCTGAGACAGAACAGCAGCTATAGAACTACCGTCTAGAGGCCGTGCCGCTGCGTTTTTGTTGTCTAACGACTCATCCACAAACCCAATGAACCATGTTTGCATCTCGGATTGTAGGTTCACCGCGAATTTAGCCGTTTCCTTCAACCCATCTATGTCTGTCCACATACCAACAATGTTGTCTGAAACACCACCAATACATAAAATTAGCAGAAACATACACTTTTGCATTTTGCTCTGGAAATTTTGTTTCAGTTGAAGAACAAACCTGTCTTTGTGGAGGGTCTGGGAGAGAGGTGAGTAGGCATTGATTTCTTCACAGACAATGGTGATTCGTTGTTATTCCGGCCTTTCACCAGTGAAACCACGTCGAGGTTAGTAGCTAATGCAGCTTCAACCCAAAGAGAGATTGGGTTTTGTTGATCAGATGATGAGCATAAACTGTTCTCACTAGCTGTGGAGTTGGCCATCTGATTGTAATTCATGACGTGTTCATATATTGTCAGAAATTGGTTGATGATTCGCAACGGATTCTCCACTTTAGATGCCGAAGAAAGTTCCGAAAATTTACTGAAATATTCAACAGCAAAAGCATGTCAAAGTTCAGATAAAAATTTAACAAAATTGATTACCAAAAGTTTTAAATTTTGTTTTGTTTTTTACCTTAAACATCTAATGATGCACTCATTGGCATTGGCTTCCTCCAATGCTCGAGCTGCAGCTTTAGCAGCAAAGTTTCTTCTTTGCATAGCTTCCTGAAAAAAATCGATAAAACAATCGCATAATTATAAAACATGATCGATCACTCGAGTGTCTTTAGTCAATGTAGCTCAACACTGCCTCGTACCTTTACAAGTTTTGCAAGTTCCTCTGAGATGTTATCTAATGGAACACTACCATCTGTCCATTTCCGATCATGATAAGTGATGCCAAGTCCGTCAAGTGCTGAAACTTCTTCTACTAAACTACCCTCTGACGAACACGACTTCGCTTTCTCTTCACATCCCGAAGAATCACTTTTTCGCCTATTCGCATCACTGAGCCGTCTCGACATAGCAGCCTGATACAAATTGTACAATATCAATTTCAATCCGTCAAACCGAACAAAAAAATCATGCTTCATTCACCAGAACACTAATTTGTCGCAATTAAACAAAGTATCTATCAAAAATTGCTATAAACCGAGTCAAATTTTCTACTAAAATGTAATGTTTCTTGTTACCTGAGTACGCAAAATCGCTTGATGATCTGGTTTAATCTTAACACAGCCTTTCTCCTTCTGCTCAGTTTGAGCATTTCCATCAGAAGCAACTTGTTCATCCCAATTCTTACGGTTACCATACTTAGCTGACGATCCGACGAGAGCTTCGGACACTTTAGAGATTCCGGCAGCAATTGCAGCCATCTTCTTCTTACCCGAAGAATCTCCAATCATCGGAGACATCTTCAAACCACTCGAAAGCCTTCTTCCCGGTGAAATCGACATTCTTCTCCCGTTAGGAGACGGATTCACCTTCCTTCCATTAGGTGATGGTTGTCTATACCTCGAAGGCACAACAATCGCAGGCTCTCTAGCAACCTTTCGATTGTCCTCACGCGCCGCCGCAAGACTTGGCACCACGCATTTCGACGGAACTGGAGATGCAGATCTTCTCCCTTTCCCGGAAATCGCCGGTGACGGATCTCTCTCCACCGCCACTGCACCGTTAGTGTTGCTCTTCTTCCCCGACGAAATTGACCGTTGCTTAGACGAAGCCGGTGACGAAAATCTCTGTGGTGTTTGTTTAGGTCTCTGATTTCGATTCTCTTCGTTTTGGTTCACCGGAGCAAGCGCTTGTCTCCCACTAGGTTTCTGAACCACCGTGACGACATCAACATCGCCATCGTCGTTATCGAATCGGTTGTTATTCAAGTAAACAGCGATTGGATCAAGCGAGTACTCAGATTCCGAAACTGGTTGGATTACGAAATCGCGTTTAGATCCAGGAGACACTCGTGCGATTAACGGCTCTGGTGTTCCGACGAAAGCGTGACGGCCAGCGACGGGGCGGATTCCGGCGGCGCGTGGGACTGGGGTAGAGAATTCGAGGCGGTCGAGGTAGATAAACTGGCCGAGCTGGAGACGGTTAGTGAGGATGAGATCTGTGTCGCGTTCGGAGAGAGAAACGTAGGTGGAGTTTAGAGAATCGGAGATTTGAACGTAGAAGCCTTGATTAGGCCATAGATCGGAGCCGGCGAGAGCTGGGACTATTCCGGTGACTTGTAAGGTTGCGGATCTATGGTCTCCGGTGGCTCGTGTACCGGAGTTCATGCATTGAAGGAGTTTGAGGAGGATTCCGGGAGCGAGAGACGCCATTTTTTGAGTGAGCTCTGTGAGATTGATGAGAGAATGAGAGGATTGAGAAGAGGAAGAAGAAGGGAGAAGTTATTGAAGCTTTTTTTGCCGTTACGAGATTCAAAATTTGAAATCACAATTGTTGTTTTCTAATTTTAATAATATATGGAATCAACATAACGGTTATGGAGAATGTTTAAGTGAGATTAATCAAATTATTATAAGGATAATTTGCTAAATTGACTCAGTTTGAATTAGTGTTTTGTTCCAATAACCTTTGGTATTTTCATATTCTAATTTTAACTTTCAAATTGAATAAAAATAAATTTTTTACAATATTTTCGGAATTTTTACTAAAAAAACAGAATATTAATTTCTATATGGTTTCTTTTTATTAATATAC